ATCAGCAGAGTCCAGAGGCATTCGTAAAAGTCGTTTTTGGTTTCACCGTTAGCATACTTTATAGGTGCGTAGTCTTGGACGTCGGTGATGTGGATGCTCCTGCAACGGATTGCGACTATCGTATCGTTTACTGATCCCTACCCTACGGCGGCATAACGTACTTCCATATGATTAATCGAACCCCCTGTTCGTGTCTCATTTATTGCCAGACACTCTTTTACTGAATATCTTCAGTAATACGGCCATAATTCAGCCAGCGCAGCCAAAGGAGTTCGCTAATTCTCACCATACTCAGGCGGGACCGGCTCTCAGTAACCTCTGCTTGTTTCAGTACGATGTGCGTATGTTCCAGGTGCCACTAAAAGTTTGTTCTTGGATGAGAAAACCGAATTAAGCATCCGGGCATCCGTCACAATTCTGAAGCCAGATCCCCTCAATCCAACATATTTGAGTGTATTTATCACTTCTTTTGCGTGAAGTTCAGCGAATTTGCTTGCTCCTCTCACCATCTCATCCGTGTTTGTCTTCCTCTTCGCTACGGTGATTCTGGTATTCCACAAGAAGCTCTTTGATTGTCCACCGTACTCTCCACCAAGGTTACTAGCCCCAACTCGCAGATAAAGCTCCATGGAATCGGACAATTCGCTGACAGAAACATAACATGGGAAAATTGCTGCTCCAACTGAGAACAATCCGTGCACTCACCTCCGAGAACGGTCCTTGCCATATGCGAGGTGAATGGATCCGTAGCCATAGTAGAGTGCCATTTTCCGGAGTTCACGGGAACGGGACCGAAAAGTGTAGACAACCGGGTGCCCTCTCCCGACTCTGTGCATACTACGCTCACATTTGAGCGTAGGAAATGGCACGTTGTTGAAGCTGCGGACCCGTGCATCTAGCACATGTACAGATCGGGAGGTGAGTGCACAGTGTTCGTAAGGAGATCCTCCATTTAAAAGAACCGTTCTGCAAACACGGACAAAGAGAGGGGAGACACAACCACCGTAATAAGGACTGTTTGATTGCTGCACATTATAAACTGCCAATCAAATAATAAGTTCCCAAGCCTACGAATAGCACTCGTTTGCTTAATTTTTCTTGTACCAAAAGTTCTACCGTTTAACATTACAGTTACTTTTATAAGCTCAATCTAAACTGTTACGATTGAAATGGTTCAGTGCCTCTCGCTCAGCAGCTTATGGACTCCGAGCAATCCGTCACCGAATCAGAGTGTTCCGTTGAACCAGAATATCTCATCGAGAACCCTTGAAAAGTGATTCCTTTCGAGCAACCTGAGACAGGCGCTGCTCTGCAGTCCTTTCGTGTTGTCGACCCTGTTGGTAACTCTTTATATGTAAACTAGAAGTTGCTCAAATAAAGTCTTTGTTCTTTCACCGGGTTATGGAAGTCTGGACTATAATTGTGCACAGTTTTCGTCCAGGGCAGCTCTTTTCTTCTTCTTTTCTGACATGCATCTTGTCAACAACACTACACTCACCTTTGAAACCAGTTATATTAGCCATTTTCCAAGCAGTGAATTTTCGACTCTCTAACAGAATGAGTGAAGCTGGTTATCAGGAGATTTGAAGGGGTCATTTGAAGGCAGTGGGCTCAACACTTTGGTTCCCTACACAAAACGGAAGCAGTGGCAGTGAGTAGGACGACAGAAAAGCAAAAGGGGACGAAACGGCTGAAAACGCTCGCAATAGGGCCCTTATTACCCACTTCAATCACCAAGTGTACGAGTCTACGCCTGTGAAACATCACTGGTCAAAGATTGATGGGAAGAAATCACGGCGACCGCACAGAGACACGTTAATTAAGGGAGTTGCAAACTTCACGAAATATCAACAGGTTCCTCAGCAGAAACAAGGACATAATTTATTTATTTATTTATTTATTTGGACCCGAGGGTGTGGCACAGACGCAGGATAACATTTGAAATACGCAAATGGCACAGTGAAGATTTGAAAAGAAAACAAAATCAAAACAAAACACAAACATAGGAAACGAAACACTGGGAACAAGAGCGAAGGAATAGGCTGTGAGTCGAAGTTCTAAAGGAAATAAGAACCGGGACCATCATTGTGACAGGATGATAAGGCCATTTCTCCTTCAGGGAAAGGGTCCACCCCGAGATCCTGGTCCTTGGTCCAGAACGCAGAGAGGTGACAACAGTACTGGGGCTTGCTGACAACTTAACCCGTTACGAACGAATTCGTCCGGGACCCCAGGCGAACAAACCGAGGGGACCTCAAGCGAGCGGGTTCATCATCCTTCGGGTTCCTCAAACGACTGACCTTTACAGCTGAAGCCCACGATTTCCGAAATAACCAACTCACAACTACTCGGCTTATTGCTCCCAAAGTTTTATGCTCAAAACCAGTAAAGAAGAGATGGGTCTCAAAAATAGCCAAATAACATGAAGCCTAAATCTGAATGGGTAGGGAGTCATAAAGGGCCCCAGGGTGAGGATTAATTCGTCCTTCAAACAGGTGGGAAAGCCATCGTGTACCACTTAGCCTAAGGCTTTGTCGTTTGGCACAAGGTATTAACAGGAAGCAACCATATCGACCAAATAAGTAGTGCTGCGACTGAAACGAAAAAAAGCACGAGAGAGTCAAACTAATCGAGAATTTTCAAAGTGCGCAAGAGGTCGAGATTACTTAGCCTACTTTTGAAAGCCTTGCTATCAGGCGCTTGGAGAACGTGAGGTGGCAGAAGCTCAAACCATCTCGCGCAACGATTGAAAATTATGTTGAACATTAAGGAATAATTTTTGGGACATACGTAAGGATAATGAAGGTCAAACCCACCACGAGGCGGAGGTGGTGTAGTGACAAGTGGCGCGCTTACCACTCGCGCGGCGCCGGGTTCGAATCCCGGGTCGACTCCCGCCCAGGCCAACCAAGCCTTCTACCCTCCGGGGACGGTAAATTGGTACCAGATTCGTCTGGGAGGATAAAACACTGACTTGTACATCGGCTGGCCACCGCAAGTCATTGTATAGGCCACATCGCATTCAATAAGCCACTACGATTCTGAATGGAAGTAGAATGCGTGCCGCATCCCACAAAGGGATTGATTAACGGCGAAGACTTTATCCTTTATCCTTTTAAACACGTCTACTGCTCGTGGGCCTTGAATACCTATACTCACTAGTCGACAACTTGGCTTCCTTCCGAACAACACGGAAGCAGAATACCAATCGTAAAAAACTTGCCTATACTGTAATCAATGAAAACAAACTATGTCGAACATGATAGGCAGGGGGACCCAACACCGGATGTGAACCATCATGCCTCCCAGTACAGGATGTGACTCTGTACCAGAGCAGCCGAGTAAACACATGCTGGACCCTTTCAATTTTAAGTATGTCTCTCTTGAGAGAGGGACTCCAAACTTGTGAGCAGTACTCTAGATGAGGTAAGACATAAGCTTTATATAGGCGCAGAAGAATGGATGGATCCGAGCAATGTATGTTCCTCATAAGCATGAAAAGTGCAGAATACGCCTTAACACACGGTCAATCTGATTGGAAAATTTCAATCTGGAATCGGAATCAACTCCAAGGTCATTAGTGGAAATACATGTTGGAAGTACGTTGTTTACGCCTTTCACTACATACTCGACAGCTGCGCTCTCTCCAAAATGCATAACCAAACATTTGTTTAGGTTCAGGGGTATGTCCCACAAAGTTGCCCACTCACACATTCTTTCGACTGACGTTTTGAGCGCATCTTGCAAGGCGACATTCTTCCCATTTTCATATGCATGTGAAAATAGATATCCGAAATAGAGGGACGATTATCTCTTTTTTTTCGGGTCACCATCACTACTGTGGAGCAAGGGGCTAAAAGTACCCCAGCAAAGGATCTGCCTAAACTTCAGCCTTGGCGGAATCCTTATGGAGCCTGGTACCGCCATGACCCTCTAAATTGGGAAGACCCGGCTTTGAATCCTATTTTTACGAGCGTATAAGTGCAAGCGTTAGCGAAGCTCCCCTTCCTAAACTGCGCTCTAAGTTTGTGGAAAACTTCTTCAAATGGCGATCAACATCAAGGCAGACTTTCTTGTACAGCGAGCTCCTCAGGGAGCTTCCAAATACATGAATAGGCGCTCCTTCTGAACCAGCAATTTCCTTATATGTAACGGGTACCTAACAGGGTGAAACCTGGGGATCTAAAAGGTACAAATAATGCCAATGCATCGTAAACACCTCTGCAGAACCTACGGTAAATATCATCCATCGAATCATATTGATCATATCATCATACATCATACAATGTGATCCAGTCAATGTTCAAAAAGTGGGCATCGAGACGTTTATAGTCGACTTTCGAGAAATCTGGAGAAGGCAAAGCGAAATCGCTCCTAAATTCCTCCAACAACTTAAAACGTACAGAGGCGTGGATCCGAATTTGCGAGCGGAGGGGCAGTTGAGACTTCACTGACGTTGGGAAAAGTAGATAGAACTAAGTCAAGTACGTTGTTTCCATGAGTCGGCAGACAAACATGCTGGTGCAAGCCGCTTTGTCGCTATACCAAAGCGTCTATGGACTCTAATCCACAAGCGACACCAGGTAACCCGCCAGCTGAAGAATATGCTCGTGCTTGTCCAGCTGTCGCACATCAGCCGAGAGCCTGCTCAAAACTTTTATGATTCGCAAGGCGAAATGTGATGAGTGGTACCATCTTCTGAAGATGCACGCTTTTCGAGTATTGCAGCCTATTTTGGCGTTACGCAGTAACGTGGCACACATTACGCGAGCTTGGAGAAATTCCTTCGGGTTAAGTCTGTTTAATCGCGTTTCCAGAGCCAACAGCAGATATTTCTCAGATATTTCTACTCTCTGAAACTGTATTCGGAGGAACCCGAGAATCAAACAATCATTCTTAGTGGTGTGCAGAACAAAAGACTATGTGAACTTTTATTGTGGTCAATAAGATTATAAATGGGTCCCAGTTGGATACAGCATGGCTGAAAAAGGTATGTAGGACTATTTGCAGAATCCGCAGGTCTTGGCACAATTCTGCATTTTCTGAGCGGTCGTGTAGAAGGCGTTCTCACAGAATCCATTCGACTTCCATGAGGCGCATCTGAATAGTGTAATTAGTATTCTGTTGCAGCAATGAATTCTCCCAACGTAATAGGGTTCCACCCAGTCCTCACACCTCACGTCTTCGCGACAAGAAGGTCACTTATCCGGTAGGCAGTGAGTTGGCATTACGCATTACGTGGCACACATTACGTGAGCTTCGAAAATTCCTTCGGTTTTAAGTCTGACTGAATGAGTGTTATTGCGTTTCCAGAGCCAACAGCAGATATTTCTCAGATATTTCTCTCCAGACACCGTTCTCTTTTCTGAGCGCTGCCACGCATACAGTTCTTAATATCGCAATCAGTGCGGGCGTGAGGGGGGGGGGTGAGGGAGGGGGGGGGGAGGGCGGGATGAGCGCTACTTTGCTGCTCTGGCTGCTTTGTCATACCAATGGTGATCGGCTATTGATCGGTGTAGGAAGAAAACAACCAGTGGAGGAAACGCCGTAGGTGGGGTCAGTCCAACCTTCTTGAGAGCGGGCCGACGCGTTGTTACCAACGGTACCTCTGAGACCCGCCTAATTCCTGGATAGAGCGTATATGCTATGTACAGTGCACATTTGGGGACAGTGCGGGGTGTAGCTACGATGACTACGAGGGTCCAGACAGAAGAATGGCGGGGAAGGCACAGCAGTGTCCATAAGAGTAAAGAATTGGCACGGGATTACGCAGTCGTTGCCGGAGCACCCCGTACTGCTCCTCAGATAGCGCTGTAGCAACTATGACACTCTCAACAAGCCCGCTTATTACGTCGGAGGTTTTGTACTTGATTGTCTTTCAATATCACATTTGGCTAGGTTATAAGTATTCTAGCTTAAGTGCAAGTAAAGACCAGCTCTCACCGTGAGCTGTTGTCGACGCATGTGCCTGGCGAGTTAGTGTAACCTCCTGGGGACGTAGTAGCTGAAATACAGCAAATTGTCTGGGATTCTATGAAAATTCATTGGCATTGTAAATCTCTTGGCCTAGTCTTTCATAAAAGGCGGTGATGGAAGAAAAGGTATACTTACATGAATTTTCACAATAGCCGCATGTCTTCTTGCAGTTAGCCATTGTGAATGCCTCAAAAGGAATTTATCTACATTGACTAGTCATAACTAAATTAGTACTGCGTTTTCGCGAACCTGCATGTCAATGTTTCTGCAGATGCTCTTATCGTTAGCGCACTCGATGGCTGCATCTACACATCCTCCTGAAGATTTTTGACTGGTCAATAAATGGCCTCTGCTAAAGTAAGCTTGAAATAATTTACCTTCCAGACAGAATCCACACACATTGGGGCAGTCACGTGCGATGATCTCACGCCATTTGGGATCCTTGCACTGAGCCTGAGTGATGCTGGAGCATGTCACGCCAGG